ATAAGCTAAAGGGTCCGATAGCACAATGAACAAGTTAAAGGGGAGAAGGCACTGGATAATTAATTGTTGATTTTTTTACTATGAAAATCAAATATAACTTTATAACAATAGTGGGATCGATTTGATGCAATATTCTACTAAATTTAAATTTCGAATAACAAGAATGTTCTATTCCTAGCTTTCTATTTGTAAAAATCACAATATAATAAATATTGTGTATGTATTGTACAAAAACAGTCAAATGTCAATAAAACCATTGGCATCTGCAATCAATTTCAGCAAGTATTTTATTTTACATTTGATAAAAGATACATAGAATCAGCAGACAAACTCAAATTTAAGAATCTACTTAAATGCAGACTAAACTTATTCGTACGTAAGTAACAGTCGCCAAACTTCTGAGGTAGGACGAGATAGTGAATGATGTGTCATTGGTATTTGATAAGTTTCCAAGAGTTGACATTCAAACTGATTCGGAAAAAACAACCGTAGAGAGGAAGAAGGTTCTCCAATATACACTTGTTTACCTTCTCGTCGAAATAACCTCATCCAATTAATTAGTACTTTCATCCGTGGGTGAGTTTTTGTGAGCATATCTCCTATCAAAACAACATCCCACGCATCAAAATTTGCGTGGTTAAAATAACTATTGTTTCTTACTTTGATTTCTAATTCAAAGTTCAGCCGTGTGTTCATGTCTAAATATAAACATTTCACTGAAAACCAAAAATAAACATTACAATCAAAATCCTTCCTCAAATATTTTTAAAATATTACTAACTTCAGTTAATTGTTAATACAAACAGCTGTTTATGCCTCACAGATTTTAATTGTACAACATTTAGACCAGGAACAAAATATGAATAACAGTTTGATAACTATTTAATTCTTTACTGTCAACAATTTTTTTCTGTTGTTAACAAAATTAATTTACTGTCTAATTGCAAAAATTAATATCAGCAATTCACAACCACACAAAACAACATATTGTTTACCGATGTTAATAAATGAGTTAACATTTTTATTTCAGTGCTCAACCAAGATTATTCAACTTCCAAACTTCCGTCGTAATGTGTCCATATTTCTCCACAGCAATGTCGGGCATGAAGTAATGCTTCAGTTGGGTTAGCTCTTTAGGTTTCACATAAGCGCGGTATATTTTCCCCGGGTCACCAATCACAATTTCCACTCCAGCCTTGCAAGCCCTCCTCAACCATGGTAAGATTTCCTTGGATATATCAGGATCGTAACACATTTCACCGAGCAGTACGATGTCCCACAACGAGGTCGATACGTTATGTTCCATCAGATTCTCTGAGGTGATTCGAATATCGACGTCGTTTAGTTTTGCGTTCATTGCGATACCGAAACATGTCACTGTGAACAGATATTTACTGTAGAAAATGTGTTGTGCTATTTTATTGATAATTAAAATTGCATGAAAAAATATTCATAAAGACCAAATATTTAAAAATGTCTTTATTGCATATAAAAACTTCAGGCATAGTTAATAATTTACCTAAGAAATAATACTAAGACTTTATATTTCCCTTGCGTTTATGTCCTCTTTTTTTCTTTTTTGGTGGTGTTTTTGTTTTCCTAAATCTCCTCCGCTTCCTCTTCTTCCTATCCTCCAGTTCCCACCTTGATGTTGGTCGCCTCGGATACTTCGTTCCTCTCTGACGCGGAGTCGTTCTCAAATAGATTCTCAACTGCTTTGGCTTTACACGTCTCGGTTTCACATGGAAATATTTATACACCTTCGACATCTTAAACCCTTTGTTTATGTATCTCGAAACTTCGGACAAATGGTATTCTGCGACTCTGTACAAATGGTGCCGTCTTTTAAAAACAGATAGGTAGGGTCGTCCTGGATCGCCGATGAGAATCGTTTTGTTAACTTGACTCTCAAACTTATCGAACCAAGGGATCATTAGGACAACCTCTTTATAGTTGTAGCTCAAGTCGCCCATCAAAATGACATCATAATCATGCCACACTGGGTGACCTATTAGGTTGGTATTATCGAGGGTAATGTTCACGTTATTCAACTGAGCGTTCATTCTGATAGCAAGACAGGCCACTGCAATCACATATCCTACCATCAGTGACCATGTCTGTTGTAGCGTTCACAATGTTAAATAGTCAACAGTTGCTAGACTGCTAGACATCAAATTAATAAGCTACAGCATAATATTAAAGTAATTAAATTCCTTGAATATCACAATAGAACCATCCGAGGGCGTAAAACGGCATGGCTATACATGATGTATTTATGCTATGATTAAGTAGATTTTTTTTGCACTACAAATGATTTACCTACAATGAATTGGATGAAATAGCCCCAAAACAAATTTTGTCACTGGGAAGTACTAGTGAAAAGGGGTATTTGTATTCTACAAAATGGCTGATCTTAAAAATGATGGTGTATTTTTGTAAAAGTACGGTAATTTTATTAGCAAAACTAGGGCCTATTTCAAGTAGATTGTTCTCTTAACAATGTTACCTAAGCAAAGAGATAGGTTAATGTTCAATAAAAATGTTAATTCATAACTCTTCATTCAAACTGACATCTATCAACCGCTACTCACTTTTTACCGTACTGTTAGCGAACGTATAGGCCTAGGCTAATTTTGTTCTTATTTTGTTGCTTCACTATTTTATCCTGATTAATCAAAACCAAATGAGACTAAAGACCATGCCACACCGACATCCGTCGCTACCACCAAGGGAGGTAAGCGTGTGGACGTTTTAACACGAGCTCTGCGCCCGAGAGAGTTTTGAGGTGAGATGGATCAAGCTCATCTCAGTGAAACCACTGAGCCTTGTTGCTGTCACTTTGAATTTCAGCCACTTCTAATGCCAGTAGTGAACAAGATGTCGTCCGATTTAACTTGCTGCAACCGCGATTTCCTACGAAATAGTGGTTCATGGGTGGGACGATTCTAGTAGTGTCGAAGAACTGATACTTTTATAGCCGGTGTCCTGCAAGAGGTCTAAATGAGTTCACTCTCAAAATGAGTGAAATGACAAGAGACAAATTATAGGGAATCCCACCATGTTGTAGCAGAGTTGGAGCTCAACGAGGAAAGGGTTTAAAACTTAGGCTACTTCAGACTGAACCCAAAATAGTTCAAAGAAGTGTTGTCACTATTTGAAGATGGGATAGAGAAAAATGATACCGATTACCTACGGTTATGTAGCAACTTTACAGCAACCTCTGCTCATGTGCTGGCCCACACTACTGCCTCGGTAGTCCAAACAAATCGCTCAGCAAGTGGTCGTGGGGGAACTACTAAAATGCTCTAAGTGTCCTATTCCATTTGTTAACACGGTGAGCGATTTTTCAAACTTTGCATCCGTCGTGGGACCGAGCTCGGTGTGGCATGGCCTTCAGGAGTACTGTTTTACATATGCATTAAATATAGACCTAAGTTTGTAGCATGATAGACGTATGGTATTAAAATTTTAAAAAGTATTAACCTCTCTCTGGGACATCCTGTTTATAATTTTAATGTAGGCCTAGCTTATGCTAAGTACGCTAGGCCTAATTAAACAGCTTTTTTGATAAAAGGCAAAAGCATTTAAAAAGGGTGATTATTGATAGGGCCTGCACTTGATATTTAGCCTACTGGTATTGTGAACAAAGCAGTGTCAAATATGTGTAAAAACAATCAAACATGAGGCAGTCTTTAAATTAATCTAATGCACAATGATTAAGGAATATTCACAGAATTAAATCCTAATAAAAAAATAAAAAAATAGGCGTTTTAAAAGCACATCACTGCATGTAATGGTGTGATTTTGTTAACCCAATCAACCTTAAAAAGAAGCTTAATTGTAACCGCATTGGGTAGCTGAGTTTCTTAGTGGGGTTTCCTGTAAAAAACCACTTAAAGGATTGCATTGACTGTTTACCTAACCCCCCACAATATAGGCTACTGCTAGTAATTTCCAAATGAAAGCTGTGACGCCCCAAGATTTATAGGTGCCGTAGGTGTTACTTCAAGTAAAACTTGTTAAGTAGGTAATCTAACTTCATCCATTTTACGTTCTGGTGTACAGTTCTGGCCATATATAAAGAGAGAAAATGTCCAGGTAGACCCGGTCAGGCCTAATCCGCTGTTGTCAAAACACAGCTATTGTTGTGAAACCGAAGGGCGCGCTACCCCATCCCAGCGGTCACTGCTACTGCCTCCCTTTAATTCTTAGAAATAACTCGGCCCAATACAAATTCTATAAATCGAACGTGTGATCGCCTATAATTAAGTGACAGGTCATTTTATTCACAAAGTGAAGACGAACAAGTCGAACATCACAAAATTTGAATCACAATTCTACGTTGCTTCGTTGATTGGCTAGTTCGATTTATAGAATTTGTACTTTGGGCCGAGTTATTTCCAAGAATTAAAGGGAGGCAGTAGCAATGACTGCTGGGATGGGGTAACGGGCCCCCTCGGTTCTCACAATGTAACCGGGTCTACCTGGACATTTTCTCTCTTAATGGCCGGAACTGTACCTTTAAATACAGGTAGGCCTACATAAACGTAATAATATCAGCCTTTAACATATTTCATGAGATCTTGAATTTCTGAAAACAGATATCTCTATAAATCATCAAAAACTTTAAGTAAGAAACATTACAATGCCTAAGTTATTACACTGAGATATTGGTTCATACAGAGAATAGAAAACAGAGTGGTAGGCAGCGTGACAGACTGTAAGGCCATGGCAGTGAGGACGGGTTCGTGTCCTGGGATTGACATTTTTTTTTTATTATTAATTATCAGTATCATTTAATTTTTGCCCTGTACCGGCTCACCCCTTGGTTTACTTGACGTTCATCGCACAGGAGTAAGACCCATGTGTACGAGCAAATTTAAGGTTAAAAAAAGCTACCTACCTTTTTCATTTTAAGGTAAATAAACATAATTAATTTATACCCCACCAAGCAACTCAGTTGAAACATCCATAAGTAGAAACAAGTTCACAAAACTTACGAGGATCTATGTCGTTAGCAGTAACAGATTTTGCACCACACTTAGCCGCAGCTATAGCCGTTGCTCCACATCCACTTCCTAGGTCCAACACTCTTTTTCCCTTCACTATTTCTGGGTGGTCTAATATATACCTGTAACATTCTGTTGTTTTAGAGAAGTTGAACACACATTTAAATAACTTACAGGCAATTATCTTCAAGCATAGGAAGAAAACTGTGGGACACAAACAAGCCTTCGAAAACAAAGGTAATTTTAATTTTAACAAAACTTGTTCACTAGTGATTTTAACCAAGTTATCGTGAAAAAGATGTAACGTTGCTGTTGAAGGAATGGTGAATCAATCAAGAGTTGATAAAATGCAACACATAACTTAAGTAAGCCGACATATCGAAACTTTATAAATGTTGTAAGTGTAGGATCTGACACCAATCATTGTGCTTAAGTTATTAACGTGTGTAAAATTGATACAATCACTTAAAGGTAACTTAACACTTAACCAACCTTGTCAATCCCTGACCACCAGCCCAGTAAAATGCAAAGAACGGGCTGTCTTTAAAGGGGGAATCTCTAGATTTGGCATTCCACAGTTTACTTCGAGGTGTTATGAGATGCAGCCTGATTTCAGGCGTCAGATTATCTTCATTTGTAATTTCAGTATTTTCTTCAATTATTTTTCTGTACTTGTCATACTTTTCAAGCCAAGCATTTGTATCAAGCGATGGATCTTGCTGATTGGATTCGTAGACAGCCTGTAAAAATAAGTTAAATAAAAAAGACTTTAAACTCATCAATAAATTTAACCCTCCGTCGGCACCTAAATAATTACGGTACTAGAAGGCCAGAAGGGTCAAACTGTATCTTTCACTACAGTATCAACTTACTTTAGGGCTAGCTATAAATTTACTAAGTTCACATTCTGCAAGCAAGACAGGTCTTATAGAATGTGTTTTTGCTATCAACATTAAGGAAACATGGTTATTATCTATGTCATAGGACTTCACCTGACAGTGCGCCGCACAACGAGGTTCCAGCGAAAGCCCACATACGCCGGAGCCAAGCTGTACAATATCCTGCCAATGGAAGTGAAGAGGTCTCACCTTGGTTCTTTCAAGAAGACGTTGCACAAGTGGCTGATTGAACGACCATTTTTTTCTGTTACAGAATTTTTGGACTGGCTCAATTTCCAAGTGTTAAAAAATTCACTCATTCGCTTTTGTACACATTTTTTGTATTTTGTAAATATTGTAGGCCTAACTTAACTATTGTTTATGACGCCATTTTCAATCTTGACGATTGCTTAATAATGTATTTCTCTCTCTCTCTATCATGGGAGTTTGATCGATTGACATCACAACTTTTGTGAAGGCGATAAAGTAAGTTAGGCTAACTTACATGTGACTTGTTTCTGTACCTTCCAAAAATGCTTCGTAGGCCTATTAGATTGTTGTTAGGACGTAGGCCTAAGTTAAGTGTAGCTTAAGTTCGTGATTTAGATTTGAAAGTAGGCCTAGCTCCTACAGCAAAAATTTGTAAACATAATAAAAAGCGTAGGCCTAGGCCTAAGTTAAGCAAAGTTTAAAAAGTAAAGAAGCGTCAATCGGGTATTTTTAGATGTAAGTTATAGTTCCGCAGAGAAACTAAGTTATGATAAATTATTGGATAAATATAAATACCTAAGTTAGTTATAAATACCTATAAGTTAGGCCTATCTATGAGGTATGGGTCGGTTTTTTCAGGTGCAGACTTTACTGCACAATGAACAAGGGATGTTAGGCCTACCCAAGTTAGCATCGGTAGGTAAGTTTGGGCCTATGTTAAGTTAGCCTAAGTTAAGTTAGATATAACTTCTGGTCTCAATAATCTAACTTTAGTATTTAGGCAAATCATCAATGTTTAGTTAGGACTATGGAACTGGGAATACGTTTTTATATAAGTTTTTATTATAAATAAGATACGCTAAGCTTAATGAGCATTAAGAGTAAAAAATAACAGCTCATACTAACATAGGCCTACTTAAATACTTGATATTTTCCAAAGTTAACAAACATAAGTTGGATGGATTGCATTATAAGACATTAATGATAATAATTAATAATACACAATAAAATCGTCGAAACTAGCACTTGAGCAAAGCTAGAGCCTAGGCAACGTTTAAGTTATAAGGCCTAGTTTGGTTTACTATGGTAATTACAAGTGAGCGAAATTCGTTCAGCAACAGTTCGTAATAAAATAGTAACACTTACGATGTAATTTGTTATGAAACGTTCAAGCAGTAGGGTACGGTAAAATTTATAAATTTTACTTTCGCTTCTCACTCTAAGTCTCAGTAATTATTATTATTAATGTTTGTGTTTGTTTGTTTGGGTTAAAAGGTTATGTTGCTTGTTATTTTTGTTCTTCCTGCTCTGCCGGCTATTATGCGTCAGCTGATTTGTCAAATCAGGTTGTCCAACTAACACACCTCTGTATCAAGTAGAGGATGAAGTACATGTAATGTATTTCCAAATGCCGCTGGTCATAGAGTCTTATTTTTTGTGTAAGCTACATATTACTGAAATACTTAATACTTTTCAATGAAATGGCGACCATACAAAGCAGGTATTTTCAATAAGGAGCAATAATGACATATTCTACGCTCGGCATAAGATGCCGATATTTGAATAGCTTGGATACTTTTCAAAAGTATTTTAGATTATTTCCTTACTTGCATTAACACAACACTAAATTAATAAATAGTTGGATTTCCAACTTTGCTAACCATTCATACCTTAGGCCATATACACGTAATATTACGTAACAAGTATTTCGTTACGTTTAAGCCCCCGTCCACCCCCTTTAACGCTGCATAACGCAAACCTAAACCAAATTTTTTAAAATTTGTTCCTATAAACTGGACTTTGGGCGGTATACTGATAGGTCTTACATTAAATATTTTGCCAGATACATACAACAAATCAAAAAGATCAATGATTAGATAAAAAGTGAAACATATCCATGTTATCCCTCCCCACTAATTCTTTGTGTGATTGTTATACTCCTTTAAATTGTAATAATAAAAAGGTTTGGGATAAAATTTTACCATCACCATTGAAATGTATGCAATGATACTACTTACTTGAGGTATGGGTAGAGTATAACAATTAATAATGGGATCTTTTCCGTTGATTCACTACCACTACTTTTTTTATTTCAATTCTGATTTTCTAACAGTTAGCCTAGTCTATGAATATTTTAATTATAAAATTAAACTATTCAAACTAACATAACCAATCAAGCTTGCTAATTATGAAAAAGTTCTTGTGGTGAATTGGAAAAGGACCTGGTAAGGATTTGAAAGAGTTTTATAAATAGTTTTAGATATAAATAAAAATGTTGATTACTTACCATAAGAATAAATAATACAATTGCTGACATGTTTACCTCAAAGTTCAGTTAAAACTAAATCTAAAAATGATTAACTATTAAGCTGTATCTTTCTTTCATTGACAATTTTTAACATTTTAAAAGCACATGTCAGTTAACAAGCTTACTGGAAATTCACATAGGGTATTTTCTTTACGATCAACATAAAACTAAACGTTTTAATCTGTATGACAGCTTGTGCTATCTTATCACTAGAATCAGCTGTTATGTTTACATCTAGCTGGCTGTTACAGTGTTTGCTGAACATGGTTAATTTGATTGTTTATTGTTCTACAATAAATAGGCGAATTAATACTTATATTTTTCAAGTCTTAATTTGCTTACCATGTATGAAGAAATTTGATTCAAATGCATGAAATGTTAGAATATATTTTGTTTACCACAATCTAATTTCATTAAAAGGAGCTTATATAAAAGCCCATTTAGAGCGAAGCTTCAAAACCCTGATGTAAATTTCCAACCACGTAGATCCATTACGTTCAAACATGGCTGTTAATTGTAGTTCATCCCATGAATTCATAAACAACTCACTCAATACTACTGCTTCGTGCTGTAGGCATATATTCCATGGTGATTGGTGATACAGTAGTTGCGGTTAACTGAAAATAATTTATTAGAATATATCTACTAAATCACTGAAACCATTTGAGTTCATTATGTAGTTGGGTTTCATTGAAAAAGTTGTATTAGGTTTATGATTTACTACAGTATTTTTTTTTAAATTCAAAATATAGGATTGTTTTTGTGTAATAATTTAAAGTCCTTTGGCTGGTTAGGTATTTTTTTTTTTTTAAGGAATGAGGTTTAGCTAGTGAAGCGGATGCCTGAAGATGTCACTGTGTTAACAACTTTAACAGCGAATAGAAACGTAATAAGGTAAACATTGATATTTAGTTTTATTTGTTACAAGTACCGATGCAATACCTATTTCTTATATTGACTTTTGTGTGATTTTCTAGCCCCTAGTCATAGGATTGACAGGCAATTCCATCGAATAAAGTCGACCAACTGTCAGAGCAGACTCTGTGAAGTCACCACTCACTGAGAGATCATAAAGAAGAAAAAATATAGCCAATGGTACATGGAAAATTACAAATAGTACAGAAGACATACTCGGCATCGGAACTACCCAGCCATCCAGAGGCACAATTTAGAGTTTTATAATAAAAAACCCACTGCTGCAGGTACTAGGTTTTTTTATGCTCTGCCTAAAGATTTAATGGAAATTAATAATATTAAGACATTTAAAAAGAAATTGAAAATATTTATATTAAGCAAATGTTACTACTCATTTAGTGAGCATTTTGATAATATTTTATAGAATTAATTGTATTTATTGACGCCATTCTGCATTTATATTTGTAAAATGTAAATCTTGAATAAAGTGTTTCTGAATCTGAATCTGGACATTGGGAATTCATACATTCATCAAATTACTATCTACAGGCTGCTCCCTGGACTTGGGTAATATTGTATGGATATAATCGTGTGAAATTCTTCACTACTGGAAATTAAGGCACGCTCTGGTATAAAAAAATAGGACTTACACGTAACTAAAAAACCTATAAAATTTTTTTGAGATATTCTGCAAGACAATAGTTAAGCGCAATCTTCATTGCACAAACCCACATTGTCTATAGTCTAAAATATATTACAATGTATCCTTAAACAAAATATTTACTGATATCATAG